GTTGATAAATTTTACTGATTCTTGAATGTGAATGTTGGTTGGAGATTAAAAGGTGGTGGTTAGAGGCCTGCATGCGCTGAACCTTTGAACAAATCTTTTTCAAAAAGAATTTGTTAGGTCTAGTACCATATGAATAATCTGAAAATGATTACTGAGAACACTAGGTCTGCATGAATGTGAACTGTAGCGAGTAATTTCTGGGAGGCAGCGCGATGCAGGCATGTTGAAAATGAATGATTAAATCTATACTGTACTGTGCATATCTCAACCTCCGTGTCGACAGTCCTTTAAATGCTCAGACTAAAAGACCCCCTGCCTACACTACAGAAATTGGTAAATACAGACAGTAGTTGGCAGAGAATATCACATATACACAGAGGAACACCAAAAAAGTATATTGGTCTGTAAAAAACAAATATGGGCTGTTATTAGTGTGTCCTTGTCATAAAAGTAACCTGCATGTAGATGTTTTGTTGTTGAAAATGACAGGCCCATCATAATTGAGAGATTGTGGCACTCCTGACCTGCCAGTTTCAGTATCATAGTTTTGACGTAAGATAGTGAAAAGCATTTTATATGGCTTTCATTGGTAGAGGAATAATTTATAGGGTGACCTATTTGTCGCAAATAAAGTTGCAACTACAACAATTAACCTGAACCTGGCAGGATCAATGCCTGTAAGCCATCAGAGTGCAGCTGTTACTGTCTTCAAATAACTCTGGATGTTGTGACCACATAAGCTGAATGTTTCCAGCATGTCACTGTAACTAGTCAATCAGTAGCCTTTTAATTCTTTCAGTTCTAAATTCAAAGAACTGTTAAAATAATTTTTTTTTTAAAAGTTGTGGTTCAGCTTCATGACAAATGGGTCAAAATGGGTCACCCTTTAACTTTACACCAGCATCACACTAAATGCCTATCATTGTCCCATGTGAAATAGTTACACAGACAACATTTCCAGCCAACACCAACAATCTGTCACTAGAATTGCAGTTCATCGTTGATAGAAGTAACAGACATGATAAACCAGCATGGGCACACACTTTTCTGCATAAGGTGTACTACCAGTTCTGTGACAGTCACCCCCCCCCCCCCCCCCCCTCCCATTTTCTGTATATGTTGTTTAAAACTCAGTTAACTCTGGTACCCCATTATGGGGGGAAAAAGGAAAAGACCCACAAAGCTTACTGTAAGAGTTGACTAATTTGGAGCTTTCTTTGAAGTCGGAGTGCGTCTGCCCAAGCGGCAAGGAGCAGTCAACTGCATATAAATAAGCCAAAGCCCAAAAAACAGTCAACTGCATATAATTAAGCCAAAGTCCAAATGGACGAACAACCAGGTCTTTTTGCTAGAGCTTACAGCCAGTGAACAAAGAAGAAGTAGTAGAAACATGGAAAATACTGGAAGAGAGGTTTATAGACACATGGCTAGCCCTGATCCTAACGACAGCATTAACCATTTAACAAGAAGGGACCAGGCCACCATCTTCAGACTCAGAACACAACATACTCCACTCAGTGAACACCTAAACAGAATTCAGCCACAACACTCCCCAGAGTGCAGGCTATGTAACTTCCCCTACGAAACAGTTGACCATCATCTCTTTGAGTGCCCAAAACTCAACGAGACTAGAAGAATGCTACTCCCTTCGAGACCAGACATGTGGAACATCTTGTACGGAGGAGCTTGTGAAAACATGTAAATTTCACTACCTGGCATTGGGCCAATGGGCGAAAGTTCATGCGCCGCTGGATCAGTAGCAACAATAACAACAACATATATATCAACACCTTCATTACATACAACATCCATTTATTTCCGGAGCACCTATGATGCACAACAGTTAGAAGTGTTAGTGCCTATACTGTTTGCGAGGTTCACTGGGTGTGCGCTCTGGCACTAAACTCAAAATGCACTGTTGATGGTCGCTGCAACTTTTTTTTTGCATGTGGTAGCTGTTACATTTTCCTCCATTTATAGACTGAAAAGAAATTGTTTTGTCACCCAGCTACTGTTTAGTGCATAGCATGACACTGTGTGCTGCTGATTTTAGCTGGAATTTTTTGTTTGCTTTGACTGTGACGTACGTGGTGTGCTGTGAACTGTAGATTCAGAAAATGGTGCGTGGCCTGTTGGTAGTACCTTATGTGATTAAAATTTATCACGTGTGCAACTGCTGATCTGTTTATAACTGCTGCTTCCGACAATGATGAGCTGCGTTTTTAATGTCAGACTGTTTGTGTTAGCACTTCTGATGGCTGCCTTATGCTTTTAATGTGTGTGTGTGGGCTAATTAATATGCTGAGACTGCAGTTTGTATTAAATTTTCAACAAGGACAGTGATGGACATTCTGTGTGTTTTTTGTTGGCACAGGAGCGGAGCAACTATGAATGACTTCTTTGCTGTGAAGCTGAAACTAAGATTAGCAAGATTATCATAAAGCAGGGGTGGTAGAACATGGAGGCTCAGGCATATAAAACCTCCCCACCCCCACCACAAGAAATATTTGTAAGAGGGCTGAGTGATTTTGTTGATACTTTTAATGTTTTTCCAGATCTGTTATTTTTTAAATTGTTATTATTGGCCACATAACCCCTCAGTGTGGTCTAAAACAGTATGAGCCTAGCCTCATATGCCCAAGGCACGATTGACGTGTAAAGGGACATTTACTTATATTATTATTATTACACACCCCAGTAAGTGGAGTCTGAATTTCAACTCACCCCTCCCCACCCCCCCCCCCCCCCCCCCCCCCCCCCCCAGCGCCCCCAGAACCCCCCCCCCCCCCCCCCCGTTCCTTTCCAGAGAGCACATCAAATGTTATCTTTGTGTCGGCGCTTGTTCACTGTTTACTATAATCTTACTTTCACCGGCCGGCAGGTTATACCAAAGCAGTAAGTGAAGGAACTTATTCCACACCTTTAGGCATATTGGGCATAGGGATAGACCTATATTTTATAGACCAATCGGCATTTAGTGAGGGATGTGATCAGTATCATAAGGACCACCGTTCCCCCGTGTGGGTTCCGGGGCCCCATTATGGGGAAAACAAGAATAGACTCACTGCCTCCCCAAAAGCAATGTCGTAAGAGTCGACTAATTGGGGAGCTTCCTTTGAAGTCAGAGTGCATCTGCCGGAGAGGCAAGGAACCAACAGTCTGTATTTAAGAGAATGAGATCTGTAAAACTGATGCACACGCAACACTCAGGTTCTGGAGCAGGACTGCAGTTCACTACTGGACGAGCAACCAGAACTTTCCGCCAGTGTACAGCTGGTGAAGGCGAAGAAGAAGAAGAAGACAAGGACCACCTTTACTCCCCAGGACTGCAGCTAGTACCCACTCAAGGCTTGGTAGACCTGGAAGCCAAGGTCATTTTGGAAGAAAGTCCGGTTCCATCAGAATCCGAACCCAAGAAAAGCAGTAAGTACTTTGTTGTAATCTCATTGATGGGTGTCCCAGTTATCATTTCTTTGCAGATTAAATGGTGAACCTGGGATTTGCCTTTTTGGTTTGCCATCCTGTTGTACTCTTGTATAACCCGTGTATAGACTATGGGTAAACAGAGCACTTGTTTATATTATTCCATATAATACGTATGTTCCTGCGTTGATACTTCTTATCTGAAAACCTACCAAGTATGTAGGTCTAGGGTGCCTACTCTGAAATACCACTGGAACTCTCCTTCAATGGATGCGCTGCTAAAACTTGCAGTCCTGCATAATTTAACACCTGGGCACAGTGGGCCATATCTCGTAGAGTCAAGAGTACGACTTTTGACAGGCTATAGGCTATACACTTTAATGTCATTCATATAAGTAAACGTCACAGATGATGATGATTAATATACGTACGCTAGTAAGTCTCTATTATTTGCACTAGCGACCTTCACTCGATGGATTCCTGCCCTCCGAAACTAAAACAGACATAAAACTGTCTCCCGCAGAAGACTGCGGTAAAGCACAGACCTAACTAAGAGAAACATTACTATAATATCTCCATAAAGAGAAACAGATAACACAGTTTCCCGCTAACCCGCGCAAACCCACGTCCGACTTGGATGCTAGCAAAATCTCAACTAACTCCCACCTGACTGTACCTCTGAATTATATCCTCAGAATTCAATTAAGTCTTATAATTACCTCCACCAGTTCTACCCTGGCAATGTATTCTCCTGTACAACACAAATTCATGTCCACAGTTTACACCCCAAGAAATAACACTTCCCATACCTCAATCTAACTAGTTGACCAGACCCTATTGTCCCTGATAAAACCCAAATACTCTTCTCTCAGATAAATCTACCGGTACTCAAGAATGAACTACAACTTGCCACTCCTATCGCTGGTTCTCAGGAACTCATTTCATATCCGACCTAACAAAACCAACGCCTGGGTAACTTAAGTTCTTGGCCGTGTGACCTCTACCTGTCCTCTTCATGCTAATTAACATTTTAATCCTCCGCTAAGACTACAACACATCTCAGATACGATTCTTGAAGCTCTGAGGGTCGTTACGTGGGGGCGGGGGGGGGGGGGGGGGGGGTGACAGACTAGAACTCGCTAACACAAAAACCCAGAATATATCCCACCAGGAAATGTAGCTGATATGATGCAAAAGTCAAACCTCTTTTTTACTAGACCACTTTACCCCAGAAGTTGGGTAGTGAGACTGGGTATCATGATACAGGCCAAAACTAGACGTCCCGATAAAGGTTGCAAGATGAAACTGTACCCACTACATAACTACATGTAAGTGTGTTCAAATATAGGTGCCTGTGTGTCAACCTATATAATTAAGGTACCAGGAAAAGTTCTGGGTAATAAAGGCGACTGACTCTTTTTTTTTAAACTACACAACCAATTCATTGCTGATATGTTTGCAACAAATATGGGGCAAACACCATATGTCCATAAGCCTCAAGTAGTGGAAAATGATCCTTCCCTTTCTTTAATAATTAATTGGGAACAAGGATTAATGAGTTGATATAATGGATTAAATCACAAATCTGCTAGTGCTAAGTTTGAAAATGAATGGTTTTGTACTGTTTTCACTATGGACCCAAAGTCCAGAGTTACCCTCCGGACAGCGTTAGCAGACTGTTGTTTGCAGGGCTGATATAGATTTGATGGGAGCGATTTTCGTTGTTTGTCTTTGGACTCTGTGGGCTGTACGTCTCTGCTGTCTTCTACTGTGAACACCACGTCTGTGACACTGTTTGTGTTGTCACTTCGAGGTTTACTGTGAGCCCAGTCTTGAATCTCACCTTTAGCAAAAATCACAAACAGGGCACCTCCAAGCGTGTTTAAAACTGCCACCACACAAAAAAGAGTCTGCCACCCTTGCCTCGACCCCTGTGGTAAAAACAAGATGCTTTGTTAGCTGCAACAGCAATACTTTAAATAAGCTAGCACAATGATTACAGTTTTTTTGGTAAAAACTGAAGCACAATATTAAAGAATATACAGAAATCACAATTTTAAAAACTGTTACTGCTGCCAGCACTTTTAGGTGTAGGATTCTTGAGCCTGGAGATTTAGGAGCGACTAGTGAAGTCACCACCACCACAGACTGCAGGACAGGATGCGATGCTGCCCTCTGCGCGGGAAAAAATCAAACAGTTACCGAGAGTTCTGTCCTGGTCTCGCGAATGAAAGCCCTCGCATTCTTTAAACATTCAACCAAGCTGCTGATACATGATCTTACCATAGACAGTTCCGTCTGTGCTGATAACATAATCATATTTGTAGGCACTGGGGTCTGCAAAGCTTGGGTACCTGATTTTAGCCCTGGTTGTATTATACAAGCGACCTTCGATTATTGTTGTGGTAAATATCACATGTCATCTTATTTCACAGAGCATTTCTTGATAATTATTTTAGGCTTCACCCCTCCTCCCCGCCCCTCTAAATCCTTCATCGAAAAAAGGGGGTGGGGGGGGGGGGAAATTTGAAGACATTACGATTAGGCTTGCTGGCAAGTGTGCTAGTCAATTTGCGCCCTAGGTGACACTCTCATGGTTTATGGTTTATACAACGGATCAACATCATGGTAAAAGGGTTAAAAAAAGGTAAGTAAAGATTCCTTTTCACGCCTTAGGCGCATCAGGCAAATGGGAAGAGCATCCCATATTTTTACAGACCTATTGGCACTGGGTGGGTAATGTGGTAAGCATTACACTGGCCGTCTTTACTTGCCCAGGACATGGTACAAGGGTAGTAACCCATAAGTGCCCCATTCTACTTCTAACTCAAGCCTGAGTCTGAAGATTCTCAGCGCAGTGCACGAACTCGGTGGCAGCGGCGAGGATCCTGAAATACTTTGGGTAGATTTTTAACTCCAAGTTTTGTTCGGATATCGTCGTTAGGCTACTCTTTTCGATTTCCAACTGCCAAGGGATATTTTACATACGCAGCAGTACACACGGGCGTCCGATCCTGCTACCCATATGCTAGAAGCCCACATAACAAAATCCCAGCCTTCACTGTGGCCTGAACCCGAGACTTCCAGCATTCGAGGCGGACGCCATGCTCTGAGACCACTCACTTGAGACTCCTAGAAATGATCACTTTATATGGGGTGAAGTGATTTGTAGATATGAAGAAGCTTTTCTGAGTAAAAATGGCAAGCGACTTCTCAATTTCTGCAGGGAAAAGAACCTTGTCATTACAAACACAAATTCCCCCTCCCCCCACCAACAAACTACACTTGCCTACACAAGATGTGAATCTTTAAAGATCTATCATGGAACATGCCATAGCATGTCGGTCTCCTTCTGTCTCTTCTTCCCTCAAACTTTCCCACAGTGACGATAAATGCCAGTCTTCTCCTTCTCATGACATGACCAGAGAATGTAGATGGTCTCCTGGTGTGGGCAATCAGTTTTTTTCGCAAGTCAGCTTTTTTTTTTTTTCAAGACATCCTTATTACCCTCTTTATCTGTCCAAGGTATTCTCATCATCCATCTATAACACCACATCTTCACCACTTCCAAATAAAGCAATCCTAGAGGTGAGTGTGTGGAAGAAAATACATGCAATATTTACCCCAGATATCAGCAGCGATGTTATGACGGGTGCAGGAAGTGACGTCACTGTTGCAATAGTCGAGGCAACGCCATTAAGAATACCAGCATACCTGCCGTAATGAGACAAACATATTTATTATGTGTATGTGTTTTTATCGTGCGGCAATAAATATTACTTTTTGCCTGGCGGTCTTTTCATAGCCGCTTCTTTAGTGTCGTTCAACATCACCAGGCCCGTACAGCAAGTGACCAACACCTGGTGACACAACGTGCCACCATTCGGATGAGGATCACCCGGGCATAAGTCACAGAAACCCGTTCAACGGTTAAGTTATATTAAGGCCCTCCGACTCCAGCCGGGGTGTGGCTTTAAAATAACGAAAAATTGCTTCTTTAGCCTTATTGTCTGCAAATGTGTCATTTTATAATTTATTTATTGTCACGCCACAATTTATTTTACGATGACCCTCATTCATAATGACGGATATAATGTCATAGTACACGTAGAATACAACCTAACCTTGCCCCAGATATGGGACGCAATTTATTTTATTATTTTAAAGTCGGGGGCCCTAATATAACCCAACGGCGGAACGGGGTTTCTGGGACCTGTGCCCAGGTGATTTTCATCCAGATAGTGACACTTAGTGTCATCGAATGTATATCGCTCGTTCTACCTCTAGCTCCAGATAATCGAGTAGAACTAAAGTTTTGGATTTTTACAATGAAACTTAACGTTTTTATGTTTCTACCCTCTACCTCGTTTTATCCAGTAATACTAGATTCATCATCATCAGTTGCCTTGCCGACTGGCGTGGGCGATCATGCATCTCCACAATCTGCGATCTCACGCACCATGTATTAATTAGTTCGTGTGCTTACACACCTCCATGCCATGCAACAAGACTGTCAAGAATCTTCTTTCATTGTCCTCTATCTCTCCTTCCACAGATCTTTCCAGTGGTCACAACATGTTTCATTTTCCCTCTTCTCATAACGTGGCCGAAAAATGATGACTCTTCTTCCGATGTCTGTGATTAGTTGTTTTCGGACTTCCACCTCTTTCAAAACCTCTTGGTTGCTCTTTTTGGCTGTCCAATGTATTTTAAGCATTCATCTGTAAAACCACACCTCCGAGGCCTCAATAAATTGTTTGGCCTGCCTACCGATTGTCCAGGACTCACAGCCATATGTTAAAACTGGATGTATGTAGCAAGCAAGAATTCTTTTTCTAACCTTCAATGACAAAGATATATTATATAAGCTGTTCTTCATAGATTAGTAGACCGAAATGAACAAATACTAAGTACCAAAGCATGTACACAGTTAAAGCGAACATACATGCTCAAAATGACCTGCTTTTTAGAAAATACTCGTAGAACAGGAGACTGAAAAGGCTAATGAGCATTCTAAAAAAAAAAAATTAGAAAGATATTATAAAAAAAGTGTAGATATAATAAGTAAAGTGCGCATTATGTATAAGTTAGTTGCATATCCTTTAAAGGGTTGTTTCAGACTAACCGCTGCATTTGTTGGCTGTAGTGTTACTGGCAGTTCTCATTCAGTAGTTTGGCACTCAAGTCTTGGATCAAGACCCAAGTCTAAAGTGGTCAAATGTAGAGGACTTCCGCCGGAGTCTACAGAGGGTGAACGAGACGAGTTCGTGCAGTGTGTTGAGGTTCATTCTTTGATTGGTTGGAAAAGACTGGAGCACATATAGAGGTATATTTTTCAAATCAGTGTTGGTGGGAAATCAAAAGGAACTAAGAAATAAGAGAATTGCGTGGGCAACCATTAGTATTAACATTTATAAGACAGAGGAGATGGCGCTATATTGAATACATCCTGCAAAGAAACGAGCAGAGAATCACTGAACAGGCATTAACATACAAAATAAAAGGATTACGGAGGCGAGGATGACCCAAAGAATCCCTAAAACGAACGTTGGTGATGAATATTTTTGAGGTTTTGAACAACGGTCCAACCTAATGACACACGGATAGTAACCCATAAGTGTTCCGTTATTCTTCTAATCAAGTCTGAGTCCGGAGGCACTCAGCACAGTGCACATGCTCTGTAGCACCGGCGATAAAGGCCAAAGCATGTAAGGCCAAAGACGCTGGACTGGATTCCAACCATGATATTAAACTGATTGCACAGGAACGAACGGAATGGAGGTATAGATTGCGAGCCTTGTGTGACATATAATGGCATGACAGGATGATGAAAATGACACCCCCCCCCCCACTTTTTCCCCTAAATGTAAGCTGAGTCACCCCGATACGGATTTGAAGAGGCCGTGAATAATGATACTATTACTGGTTCCTGTGTATTATTTATGTTTGGATTGTATTTTGCATCTTACCTTGGCGCAATGTCCAGTAAGTTGATTCTGAAAGCCACCGATGTCAGGTCCTGACAGGACAGAGCTAGAACTAAAAGTAATACTGACCAAACGGTGGACAAATCCGGGACAAAGGCGATGGCCAAGGAACAAACAGCACATCCCCAACATCCTTGTCAGACAATGATCAAATATTTTTAGTGAATACTTTCAGTTATAACGTAATACATAATGTATTCTGACAAATGGTGATGATAAGTTAATAGATAGTACGACTGGTCCTGAAGTCTTGTGTTAACCTCCAGTTAAATTTAAAAAAAAAAATACAAAAAAATTAACATAACTCCAAACGCGCCAGCCTAAAATGAGCACCAGAAAATGCAGTGGGGAAAATGAAGACGGTCGGCGTAATGTTTACAGCATTACCTTCAAGTACTTATTAGTCTACATATATTTGGGTCTAACACTATAAGTTCAATGGGTCAGTTGTGTGAAAAGAGTTTTTCACGGTTACTTTAAAAAAAAATGGAAAACACTAATCTGCACACCCCTTTCCACGAAATGCCTAGCATGAGAATGGAGGTGGAGGCGGTAATTGCAGCTCTCCGGTTAAAAGGAAACATGTCGTAATTGTAAAAGACTCTGAAGGCATGCTGAGAAAGGTGAGGACAGGGATGCTTCAAGCAGAGTGGCAAGCTTCACTGGGAATGTCACGGTAGTGAGCATACTGTGGATCTTTTCTCCAGGCTATGCCGGCGTGGTGGGTAATGAACAGGCAGACAGATTGGCTGGATCTGCACCACTGAGTGGTGAATTGATACGTGACAAGGCAGATGTGGTCAAGGCCCTTTGGGAACAAGCAACGGAATCAATAGAGAAGCAAGATTATTATGGCCTGGAGAGAATGAGGCACATGGGTGTAAACAGATGGTCTGGCCGGCTCACTACACTCAGAGGAAAGACAAGACGGACAAATGACCAGATAGTGACCGGTACCATCAGTATTGGAACTCTGCGCTGGCTGCTGAAGATGAGGACGGAGCACGCATGGGAATACCCCGAGTGCTGTGATGTCAATTCTCGACTCAACTCAACTAGTCTGTCTTCGTTCCATTAGAAAGCCTTCGTCATACAACACAAACTACTGTGAATAGAGTATGATTTACATTTTATGAGGCCCTAACCTATATAAAGCCCCGAAGCCCCTACCGTTTTAAATTACACCAAGTCATCTAAGAAAACTGTAAACAATATTATCGTGATCCCATAAAGCTGCGTGTCATTGGGTCACTAGTTGCCTTTGACTGTCTGATCAGCTCCCTCCACCTTTGGCGATCAGATGCAATTAACGTCGCGGTTCATACTTAAGGCGTATCCCAATCTGTCAAGTTCTGTATCCAGGTCCTACTTGTTCTGCCTTTTCTCCTTTTCCACTCTACTGAGCCATGCAGTAATTTTTATTTGTTTTGTTTTGTTTGTGTTAAACAGTAAAAGCCTTTTAAATATAAGGATAATAGAAATATATTGTCGTTTAACCCCCCCCCCCCCCCCTTCCAAAAAAAAAAAAATTTTTTTGAATTTGTTTGCAAAATCACATAAAGAATTTTATAAAAAGCTCGAAGTTACAATTTAAACAGCTCCCCCCTCCCACCCCCCCCACCCCACCCCCGTTTTCCCATTGATTACTCCATCGAAAGATATGCTGCCTACCAAATAGGAATTTTTTTTAGGCCGTTGCAAATTTTGAAGCTGTACTCTTAGCTTATGTAGGTTATAGCTAAATCCAGCACCGACTATGTAGCTCTATTGTTCTTCGTTTATTTCCTTATACCTTATACTGATGAACGCTTTTTAACCACAATGTTAATTTGATCTTTTACCGTTTTTTGAGAAGCGGACTATTTCTACATTGCAGGACATGTTCTGGAGTCTGTTCAGTACGAATACATTGATTGGGGGGGGGGGGGGGGGGGGGGGGGGTGTTTGGCTCATACCTAATTTATATGAGTGTTTGTTGTCTGCAGTGTCCATTTCGTAAGCAATAAATGGTGACCTAATCTGTCCTGTTGAGGTGTTTGAGAAAATCAGGTTATAAACTGTGTTGGTTTTCTAATCTGTTTCTGATTTTCTCTTAATGAGGGATTTCACGTCTGCAAATGTTTCTGATTGTATTGATTGCTAACGACACAAAGGCAAATTCAGGATTGTAAACATGAATACGCTTACCCATAGCCTGAAAACATTTCCTAGTCCTTACTGTAGAGACTCCTTTCCGAAGCATCCAGTCAGAAACGTAACCGGCAATGGCTCCAGAAATGAAGCGGCCCACGAATGGCAAAGAAGAAAACAAGCCGTCCTGGAGACGTTTGCAATAAATAATATAAGCAAATGACACGAATAAAGCTTTGTAATATATTTTACAACTACTGGACGTAAATTTGCCTAGAAAACCACACAACAGCCAGTGGCTGTTAGGGTTGGTTCTGCAACGTCCTGTAAAGGATACGCAACTAACCATCCGACTTTTAAGTTTTTCTTTGCTCTGTGGCTAAGACGATGCGAACGCTTCTTAATGCCGGGATGCCGGGTTCGATCCCAGCTGCGGGCCATCGCCTAGCTATGGTTTCGACAGTGGTATGAAGAAAGCCGACCGTCCAGTAAGCAATGGAAACTACTGGATGTAAATTTGCCTACAAAAACCGCACAACAACCAGGGGCTGTTGAGGTTGGTTCTGCAACGCCCTGTAAAGGATACGCAACTAACCAATATATTTTACGTTTTTTCAGAGCCCGAATAGTCAGATAAAATAATCTAAACTTTTTTTGGGATCGAACCTGAACTGTTGTCCTGTTGCTAAAGACAACGCCTCCCCCCCCCCCCGGGGGGTGGGGGGGGGCACATTATATGGCTGTGAAATATAAACAGTGAATAAAATAAAGTAATTGAAAAGTAATGGACTTTTTCTCCCTAACCACATTAGGCTTATGTGGCATATAGTGCTAGATCTCATAAGTTTTTCACCTGTGACACAGAGGAGTATCATTTATTTACTACATTATAGTCCTAAGTAGTCACTTCAAAGTTAGTGCATATTTGTGTTTGTGTGCTTTTTGTTCTTTATGTGCTGATGAAGGTTAATCGCCGCAACATCCTTTGTTTGTTCTTTCTTACTCCTTTTATTCTTCTCTTCCCTAAAATGTCCTACTCGTTTAAAAACTAGATCTGTATGTTATAGACCAGCTGGCACTCTGTAGGTAAGGTAGTTAACCAGCACTTTGCCTGGTAACCACTTTGGGTTGGGTCGACCCGGGTGCCAAGGTCATTTTGGAAAAAGTCCGTTTCGATGCGGATTTGAACCTACAACCTCCAGGCCAGAGGCGAGCGCATAGCCGCCCCACTATTCAAACTCTCGAGCAATAAATAAATTAGATGAAAAAGAAATGTGGTATGACTTTAACAAAAAATATAATAACAGTACCCAACTGGACTGAACACTTAACATATAAATAAATACTACGAAATAGAACCAATAAAAAAGATGATTCACATTATAATTAAAAACACGATTACTTATGCAAATATAACTGTATATCGTAATGTTAGGCCCATATTGCAAAACTGCTTCTACTTTTGGAAAAAATAATGTTTGGTCTATATTTAATAAACGCGAGTACATAATTGAAGTCGGCTTCTGTGGCTTAGGCGTTGCGAACGCGCTTTGTAATGCAGGGGTGCCGGGTTCGATCCCAGATGTGGACGATTTGTCTTGCGTTGCTTTCGACAGTGGTGCCGAGACCTGACCTGACCATTAAGAAAGCTATGACAAACTACTAAACGTAAAATTCGCACAGAAAACCCACAACAGCCCTTAGAGAGATAGGACGTTCTGAGGATTTTGGAAGCAACGTGTCCACATCACTCCTCTAAGAATACTCGAATTGGGAGTAAAGATCGGCACAGCCAAGCATGAGAAGCACACTGGACGCATACGTCTTGTTAACCAGCATAATAGGACTGGTACTATTAACCGCGCGACGCTGATGAATATATTGAGAGGGAAATCTGAGCGCCTATGGATGTGTCCGGAGTGTTGTGAAGATAATCTAACTCATAACTATAACTCTCAGCCCAAAACCTGCAAAAGATACGCAACTATCTTCATAAACTTCATAACTTCTGTGTACATATGCATAGTTATTTATTTTAAATGTTTACAATTGTTTGCACCGACTTGGTCTAAAATGCGTTATATTGACCAAATCAACATTGCGCACCGACTGGCTAACAAACGTATACTCGCATGACACTCAACACGTTTTTTAGCATGCACAAGAACTCTTTACCTTACGTTTACTATATTTAGGGTGACTATCCTATCTTCAGCTAAAAAGCATTTTTTTAAAAAAAAAAACCTGATAAGAAACCAAAGATTATGGAGTGGGTTATTTTCATAATATTCAACGACTGCGCAGGACAGAATGGAATGGAGGTATATACTGTAGCCCTAGGCGCCACATAATTGCACAACAGGACAATGAACAGGTAGACAGTGTAAGCTGGGTCACTAATATTTTGAGCCGAAAACTAGACACCCCGTCATATTTGTTGCTGAAATCGAGACATCCCGAGCAAGTCAGTTAATCTCCACCCCATGTTGTATAGTCCACCCAGGTGAAGGGGGTAACTCGCTGGATGATGGTATTAAAACCCGAACCATTGTCGTCAAGAAATAAAAGAAACAATATGCTCTTTAACTGTATATGGCAAATACATGCTACAATGAAAATTCCTATGGATACATTTCATGACTTAAAAGTGTCTAAAACTATGAAATCAGATAAGATATAAAGACATGACTTTAAGTTTGTGCTCTATTCCAGACTTTTACAAAACGGGACAATTGCCATTTTTTTTTCTGAATACCGATGGGACGGTCGGGGCACGCCTAAAAATGAAACTTTTCCAGCGAAAACTGGACGTGTGGTCACCCTAACTATATTGCATAACAACGTCTACTTTATGTAAACATATATGTCTAGAAAACACGTATTAAGCAAACAATTTCAAACAGCATATAACAAAAAATAATGCCTCCTGACATGGCGAATATAACCTACAGAGCAGAGCTTTTCAACTGTATCGCTGCAGAGGGAAGGTGTGTCACGCGAAAGTAAAGCGTAAAACAGAGTAATCGCTTATTCCGTTTAACCACTGGTTTGCTAGCAAACTGAATTACCGTGTCGAGAAATTATGTTTGTCTAAAACAGTGATTCTCAACTTTCCTAATCCCTCGACCCTTTAATACAGTTCCTCGTGTTGTGGTGACTCCCCAAACCATAAAATTACTTTCGTTGTTACTTCATAACTTCAGTAAATATATGTCTTCTGGTGGTCTTGAGCGACCCCTGTGAAAGGTTCGTTCGACCCACAAAAGGGTCGCAACCCATAGATTGAGAACCGCAGGTCTAAAAGGTTTGTCAACAACATTAACAGTTTGGAAAGCTCTCATATAAAGATATTATGCTACGGTGGAAGGTTCACTAACGTACCATTTTCATGCCGAAGTCAAAAAGGTCAGAAAAATACCGAGGCAGGTAGGACAGCATGAATGTCAGGATCCACTTGTGGGTTATGTGTCCCATCACTACAACCCACACTGCTGAAGATACAAATATTTGCCTCCATGGGGTGTTGAGTGCCTGGATGAAAATATGTTGAATTATAAAATACATGCATCGAGGAAATGTCATGTCCAACATATTTTTCGGCATTGATAAAAGTAAGGGTTGTGTGTGAGTATATAGGTTTGAAATGCGGATAAGAGAGGGAGAGAGATGACAGGCGGAGGGGAAAAAAGGGAAGGAAGAGATGGTTGTGTTTATGAACATGTAAAAGTCAGCACTGTTAACTATAGAAACAAGAATAATAATCCTTCATTACCAAAATGCTATCCTGATAACAATATAACTAGAATATCATCGCACTGGAATCCACAGGGACATATAAATAAAGGCAAACAAACACATAAGAATAAAGCTACGAGTGAAGTTAAAAAGATTGGGAGGACGTGGGGTGAGCTGTATACAATATTGAAAGATAGAAAGACTTGAAGTAAGTTGGTTGAGAGCCCAAGCTTCACTGGGGGACAGATGGCCGAAAAAGATGAATATGCAACTACGCTTGTAACAGGTAAACACGTTTAGTGCAGCAAATACTGCCTCAAAAAGGACACAACAGGAACATGTTATCCTTAGAGAATATGAACTGAGCGTTAATGAGCGTCTGCATAGTTGACAAGCAACATTTTGCCAGAGATAAGTAGTCTGTTGAAACATGAGGGCTTTCATTTAATCAGTATCGCCATCTTGTATTCAAGAACGCCTGTGAGATTTGCAAATTTACAGTTTAGCCCCAAATAGAAATATGGAAATATACATAAATATTTACTTTTAGTAAACAGCATAAAATATAGTTTGACCGGAAACTCACTTTATGAACACCAAAAGAGTAGTGTTCAACATAATATTCTCACCAACGTTGTTCTATCAATGAGAAGAAAGAGCACTATTCAACATAATATTCTCACCAACGTTGTTCTATCAATGAGAAGACAGCAGAAAAATAGTCACGAGAGAAATGAAATGTTTACGTATCAACTGTTTCAGTAGACAATAGATGAAATGGTTTGACCATGTAACAAGTTTGGCAACAGAAGGCACCAGAGAGATCAATGCTATACAGATTCAACCTAACAGAACCAGAGGTCAACCACACAGAAGATGAACCTTGGAAATATCGGAAAAGCTGAAATTATATACGAAGGAACAGAAAGGTATGCCTCGAGTCATTCATGGAGTAGAGAAAAAAAAAAGAAGGCTCACTTTCAATGATAATGCTTTAAAGCGCTATACAAAGAGTGACTTTTCAGTTTCACGTTATTTTTATATTGAAGCGCCACCCCGGCTGAACCCGTTTACTTTGTAAAGTTGAAGAAAGAAGACACAAACAACAGATTGCACAATTTATTGCCTGGCATATTTCGCTGTATCTCGTCAGGTGCATACTACAGTAACAATTACATAAATTAAGCAGATAAGTGAATCCTTTATAACTGAAGTACAAATTCAAAAACTATCAAATAAAACTGCCTGTTTACTTCGTAAAAGTAGTCGGGAGCTATAAAATAAACCACACTGTTAAATGAGGTTTCTGGGATTGCACAGGATAGGAAAGGGAGGGGGCGGGTCATCATCCGAATAGGGACACTTTGCGTCACTGGGTGCTAATCGCACTTTGTGTGGTGCTAGTGGGGTTAAATGTCACTCACAGAGGGGTTTATCGACGACCTTGTGGTTTATTGGTCCATCAATGGGCGAATCGTCGCGAGTCGGCAAGTGGTTGGGTCACAGCATCTACATTGCACGAGCCCTTTTCAGGGCTATTAGATGGGGGAGCGGTTTTAAGCCATGAATATGGCGCAAAAAACAACAACAAACAAATCAAAATACAACCAACCAACCCCCCCCCCCCCCCCACCACCACCCTTTCGGAAAATGATGGTTGAACCTTGTCCCGTTCACCCCCTCCCCTCATTATTTTATCAACGTACTTTGGAATTTAAACAAAGAAATAAATAAAGGTCTACATTCGGTTAAAATCAAACACAATATAGAGAATAAATACACATACAAAACACTTTCAGGTTCACCTTTTTGTAGTGGTGGAAATGCTCAGGTTGTTTACTAAATGTGATGATTGCCAGCTCTTGTTTGGTTATTTGTGGATGATCTTCTGGTCTGTCGTGAACGTTGATGAACCATATGGGAGCCAGCAGAAAGCACAAAGAACCTGGGAACAATGTTAACGGTTCTAACATAGTTACACTAACATTAAATAAGTGGTGAGAGAGAGAGAGAGAGAGAGAGAGAGAGAGAGAGGGGAGAGAGAGAGAGAGAGAGAGAGAGAGAGAGAGAGAGAGAGAGAGAGAGAGAGAGAGAGAGAAATAGAGAGAGGGAGACATTGACAGCGATTATTACAGTCCTGAGTACATTCACGCACAGACTCTAGTCATAGAGGCGAAAAACTAATAATTCTTTCTACATGAATGTCAGTTTAAAAAAAAAAAAATCTACGACTCGAGGAGAACTTGGACACATGACCTCATGATGGCAAACACATAAAGAAAGCACTGCCCAGCCGCGGTATGCGCGTAAATATGATAAAATATAATATGACCATGAGCGAAGCCAGTTTACAATGAATGTTGTAAACAGGCAACCGTCAATCGATGTAGCCAACGCTGGAGTTACCTCTTCAAGGTAAAGGCCTGGCCATGCCGAAATGTCTGAGTACAGACTGTTTGTTCCCCAGGTAGCAGGGTCGCCAGGGTAATGTCAATAGTTTGCTATATGCCAATATCGCTTGGCACCGAACATGTTTCCGTAGCAGAAGTGCTAACGCCTAAGGAATTCCAGTTCCGGATTTTTCCTGAGGGTTTATTCCAGAAGTTTTTTTTTCCTAAATAGGGTCTTGCCACAAGGCAGTGGGGATTTGAGATCCAGAGTTTTCCTTCTCCTCGATAAGCTGCAATCCCATAATGACGAGCCTCGTCTATCAGAGGCTGCAAATAAGTGGTTTCCTTCTCTTAGATGAGCTGCACTCCTGTGCTGACGAGCCTCACTGCTCGAAACTGTATGTTGATGTATTTGTCACACCACAGTTATAATATAGGGTTGTAGTTAGATTTAAGTATAATGAAGTAACTAAATTAACGTTGTGGAATTGGGTTCAGGATCTTCAAATACGAATTCTCCAAGCTCAGCAACAATAAGCAAAACATAAACAGGATTAAACAAGGCATACCAAATATGTAGAAGATATAGGGCCATCCACGTCCTTCTCCGCCAATTGAAACGATGTAACCACACACAAGAAAAGTCAGAATGCCAGCAACGCTCAAGCCTAGGGAGTCAATTATGATAGTTAATAATTTGTATACTGTTGATAGGCAGCACATAGTACAGTTCTGAAGACTGGCACCCACACACTTAGACTCAAAACACATTCACAGACGGACACATACCGTCTTCTTCGCCACCTTTATTGCGTTTCCTATTGTTCATGTCCCAATGACAGTGACGGTTATCTTGTTTCTGATTCGTTGAAAAATGATAACATTAAAAAAAAAATACCCAATATGTAAATTCAAGTTTGCAGAAGATAATTTATCAAATTTATCACTTGAAAATTGTATTTACTGCTTTTAATAATTTTTTTTTGGTGTGCAAGCGGTGTAGGACAGTGGAGCCTTGAGCCTACATAATTAGGGTCGTATGGCTAGTGATGTCGCCACGAACTTTGCAAGTTAGGATGTTTATGTTTGTCCACGTCAGAACCACTGACCTCAGAAAGATTTGAGCCCAGATTTATCGAGTTAAATCAAGAATTGACATCACAGCACTCGGGGCATTCCCATGCGTGCTCCGTCTTCACCCTCAGCAGCGAATGCAGAGTTTCAATACAAATGGTCGTAATCTGGTTATATGTCTGTCTTGCATTTTCCCTAAGAGTGTGTCCAGGCCATAATAATCTTGTATCGCTTCGGATTCCGTTGCTGTTGACAAATTGCCCAAACCACATCTGCCTTGTCATGTATCAATTCACCACCCAGTGGTACAGATCCAGCCAATCTGCCTGCATGTTTAATGACTACCACTCCAGCAGGTAGAAAAGATACAAAGTCACTACCCGTGACCATCCCAGTGAAGCTTGCCACTCTGCTATGTTACAATTACCACATGTGTAAACATCTTGTTCTCTAGCCACCGGAAAGCTGCAGTTACCGCCTCCACCTCAATTCTCATGCTAGATATTGTGGTGTTATATGCCAGTCTGTCCTGCACTAAAGATTGTTCATTGGCTTTCGTTTCGAATCCCAGAATTTTTAAACTGCACGTAGTGTGTTTATGTGCATGATGTTAGCCAACTGGATAGGAAAACTTGCTTTTGTTTGTTACATGACTAGAATTTTTAAAATACGTTCTACGTAACAAATGGCTTTCACTTAAATGCATGAAAAATGACATCCTGAAGACTTCAAGCCAGTAATAAATCAGACATGTCGCACACACTTATTATAATAAGAAGTTCGTAGTAATTTTATATTGTGCCATCTTATCTAGGTATATGTTTTAACACCAGTTTTACCGAAGTGCCAATGAAATCAATATATATTTAATATTATTGATTATTTATACTGAATTCCTATGAGTGGTTGCCCTAGGGACCTCAGTACTCTGGTTTGCCCAGGGCCTATTTGCCAGTGCGTATTGAAATTCCTGAGCCAGTAGTGTGAGAAAGGTTGTCAACACCGAGGAGTTGAAATAGCAAAACGATGTGTTTTAAACATTTAAAATATATATGGGTCCGTGTGGGGTTGACAGGAAATGTTCCGTACTGGCTGCAGTCTGAGCTTGCTACTCCACTGTCTTGAGCTGTAGATCGTACCTTCACTTCATCCTGCATGGAAACAATGATGATTTTCATCTAACTCTCCTGAACTTTCTAGATCATTTAAATTACAAATTAAAAAGAGATTACCAGAATAAGCACAGGCTGACAATGAAGCTTTTTCGTACACTGGAGCCCATTGAGACCACATACCCTGGATCAGCGAGTCAGTCCCACTCTGTCAGAACACATTTAAAAGTTGCACATTGTTAAACGAATCCAGCTAGTTGAAAAAAAAAAAAATCAGCAAACATTTTTTAAGGAACAAAACTGCTGTTTAAAAAAAAAATGCGTTAAAAAATAAGTGCACTACCATAAAAAAAATATCGTTTAGTATAATGGACACAAGAAATTAAAACTATTCTCTTTGCAAGTTTAATCTATAATTTTATACAACGATTAATAAATGCTCGAGAATCCCTTGAAAGTAATTATTATACATATAAAAAGTATGGCTATAATTTCAAAGCTATACATTATACTATACTATAACAAGGCTCATAAGTCAAAAGTAAAAAGTAAAGGACCCTTTTCCACACCTTTAGGCGTTTAGGGCAGATAGGGCTAGACCTATATTTTATAGACCAATCGGCACAAGATGCGTGATGTGGTCAGCATCACGCCGAAACAAGGTTTATACTTTTTGATAAATCAAGTCGAATATTATAAAACTGTCACTTCTTTATCTCATGATATGATTTATACAGCTCTCGAGAATTCTTTTTCTCACCTCAGTTGAAAAAGAAAGATTGCACAGAATATTCTACGATCTGCTACCCTAAAATCACATACATATTTGTCTCCTTTGTTAAAAATCCGTACGACTCATTTTGTGAAGCGAATAAAATCTTCCCGAGTTTGCATTTGATGACATATCTCTAATAAGGCTGAAATAGGCACATTTTGACCTGCCTCAATGCGGCGGTGTTCCGTCACAGAGTGATCTGTTTTCTGGTTCAAAATGGAAGACTATGCATTGCAGAATGATAAGCTTCTAAGTTATTTTTGCTCCAGACAGCGCTTTGCTAAGGCAGTTTCGACACATGGACAGTAGTCTACTGTTTCATTGCCTGAGCTACTGAGTTTTAGTGTGTGGTGCCGCACTGTGAGCTGTGTGTTTTTTCTCATGGGAAATTCCTTTTATTTGTGCAGCCGTTGAGTCGTGGTATTCAATATGGCCGGTAGCCGGTTTGCGTGTGGATTGCTGAAATACCTTATGTGACAAATATTTCTACGTGTGTATAGCCAAATCAGCGACTGTTGCTTTAATGCCTCTAGCAACTGCCATTTACTGCATGAGCATATTACTAAATTTTGATGGGACTAATTGTTTGTTTACTAGTTTTTTAAATGAGACAGAAAGGGATATTTCATTTGACTTTCAGTTGTACATAAACGCAGCAAGTATGGGCTCACCCGACTGCAGTAAAGTTGAAACCTCAACTGAGACAAAAAAATCTAGGTTTCGAGACTAAAGCTTTATGAGATATTTGTGTTCAATGGTCGTAATTCTTAACCAAAAACCTACACATGTTTGTCCTACACATGTTTGCCATCGAATATGCTCTTGCCATCCTCACTGTCAGCCACACTAAGATTGAAAGACTTGAGAAGGTGCAAAATGAAGCAATGTGCATTATTCTAGGGTGCACTGGAGACACCTCTTGTGTAGCTATGAGGTACCATCTTGACTTCCCTACCATGAACTACAGGATCAAATCTGGAGGGCTCGTGCATACCTCAAGATAGGCTCATATCTAAAGCACCTTTTGCACCACATGCTCTTCAAGAAAAAAAGGCAATAGGCTTAAAAGGGGCAAATCATGGCTAGGTAGGGCAGAGAATGACATCATGCAGGTTTGCAGCCTTACAGACATCCACCCAGGTGAGGAATGGATACCAACGTCTGAAGCGTCCAATCTCAGATTCTCCTGTGTCGCGACGCTCGACAGGAATTGTAGGGAGCAGAATCCAGCCGCTGTCAGTGCCGAGGTATGGGCGCTTATCAGTGACAAGTCCGATAAGACAGATGTGGTGATCTTCACAGACAGGTCCGTTATACGAGGACAAAAGAGTGCATAGGCATTTACAGCTCTTCGGCAGAACAGTTCAGGAAGCCAGCGGTGACTTCTCCATGACCACCAGCAGCACGATGCACGATGGAGGTGATGGCGGTGACACAGGCTTTCATGTGGCTGGGATTACAGGACTATTCCAGCGTGTGTATGTGCTGAGTGATTCTTTGAGCATGATCCGGCGGGTCAAGGCAGGCTGGTTACGCAGACAGTGGTTTGAGTCGTTGCAAAATTCTCCTGTGTGTGCAGTTACTTTCATATTCGTTCCAGGGTATGCAGGCGTCGTTTGTAATGAGAGAGCTTATAGACTGGCAGGTGCTGCATTAATTGAAGATGGCCGACCCACGGATCACGTAGACATTGGCATTGCTCTTAGATAGATAGGACGTTCTGAGGATTTTGGAAGCAACGTGTCCACATCACTGCTAAGAATAACCGAACTGGAGTAAAGATCGGCACAGCCAAGCACGAGAAGCACACCGGATGCACACAAAGTCTTGTTAACCAACATAGAACAGGAACTATTAACCGCGCGACGCTGATGAATATGTTGAGAGGGGAATCTGAGCGCCTATGGGTGTGTCCGGAGTGCTGTCAAGATAATCTAACTCATAACTCATAAATCATATTTGTCCTGAAATCCCAATAGACTCATTGACTCTAGAACAAACTTGCCTTAAGAGTTGAGCTTCCTTTGAAATCAAAATACAAATAAGCCAGACCTAAAGAACAAGTCTAAGTCCCGAGGAGGAAGAGCAACCAAAAAATAGCTCGTCCAGATTATGCAGCCCGTGAACGCAAAGAAGAAGAAGAGGGTGGAAGAGGAGGATGAGAAGAAGAACCAAAAACCAGCTATAAAAAAAAAAAAAAAAAAGACTTCATGTCTTCACTTAGTTGTTTACGTTTTGTAACTGCTAGAACCATTGAACAATTAATGCTCTAGAAAAGTGGTTCTCAATCTTCCTAATGCCGCGACCTTTTCACACCATTCCTTATATTGTGGCGACCCCCCAACGATAAAATTATTATCGTTGTTACTTCTTAACTTTGGTGAATATGTGTTTTTTGATGGTCTTACGCGACCCCTGTAAAAGGGTCCGGACCCCCCCCCCCCCCCGCCCCAAGGAGTCGCGACCCACGAATTGAGAACAGCCGCTCTAGACAGATACTTACCAAAGCCATCCCTGTGAGGATCCTAAAGACAATGATAAAAGCTGGATCGGCTTTGGCTGCAACAGGCAGCAAAACTGTAAACGTGCCACCAAAAAGCAAGCATGCCGACATCAACTTCCGCCCGCCATGTCTTTTAGAAGGAGGATGCAAAAACATTGATGTTAAGTAAATTATTCTTATAAATAATTATTGTTATAAGGCTGCTCCTGGCTTTTTATCAGCTTCACACAATAGCCAGACATGTTACATTCAGAATGTCAAGCCAATGACAACAACAGATCAAGGATAAACAGTTTAGTTTTTCAGAGACAATTAGTCATCCCTATATGGGACGCAATTTTTCGTTATTTTGAAGCCCCACTCTGGCTCTTGCCAGGGGCCGCAATATAGCCCGGTCATGAATGTAGCCTAATGGCTGAACGCGGTTTTCGAGACCTCTCCACGGGTGATCGTCATCCGCATGGTGGCACTTTGTGTCATCGGATGTTTATCGCTTGTGTGATGTCCTAGTGGGGTAAAAGTACTACTACTACTAAACAGTTATAAGTTTTGAAATGTCTACTGCAGCCAGTAAAATAAAACAGAATTGATCTTCTTCTGCAATTCCTCTGTAAAGGGTGGTTGGAACGTTGTGTTGTGGTTTACAGCTAGGCTGCGAACAAGGCCCTGGAATCCACACGGAGAAAACCAACAGGATTCATAACGCATTCTAGTAGCAAACATGAACATGTTTTTAGGGGGTCTAATTCCATGACGTTTCACTTAGGAGTGTGGTATGCAATTAAAAAAGTAAAGGACCTTTTTCCACGCCTTTAAGCGTATTGGGCACATAGGGCTAGGCCTATATTTTGTAGACCATTCGGCACTTAGTGGGTGATGTGGTCAACATCACGCCGGCAGCTTTTAATTCCCAGTATAACTAATGTAGAGCTTTGGGAGAGAACTAAACAGGCTCCAGTGGACCAAGAGGTGAGGAAAAGACGCTGGCGTTGGACACACACTGAGAAAACAGGAGAACAGCATAAGTAGAATGTCTTTGCATTGGAACCCACAGGGGCATAGTAATAAAGTAAGAACAAAAAACACACAGAGAAGACAGCTGGAGAATGAAGTTAGAAAAATGGGGAGGACATGGCGAGAGCTCCATGTAATGGCGAAGGATAAAACGACATGGCGTGAGTTGGTTGAGGGCCTATGCTGCATTGTAGAATAGAAAGGCAGAAGAAGGCTCCAGCTGTACGCAGTCAAAGCTGGGTCGACCTCGGAGCCAAGGTCATTTTTAAAACAGCCCGGTTTCTACGACCTTTTGATTTGCAAGCGAGCGTCTAGACGCTGCACTACGGCGGCTCCCTGGGGTATATAATAGTAGAGTAATTAATGGCAGCATTATCATGTATCATCTCCTCTGGTTTAAAGCTGACTATAGGGAAATTCCAGTTGTCTTTTCTTCCTTTGTTTTTCGCTTTGGAGGGTATTCCCTTTTTACGTGCATGTAAAGTAAGTTTGAATTTTCACCCCACCATTTATTATTTATTCATGCAATTTGCCCATCTCGAGGGCTTTCTGATCTATCAAACCGTACCGGGTACTCTGAAAATTCCCTAGAAGTAAAGGACGCCGGTATGGTATTGATCACATCACCCGTTAAGCACTGATAAGTCTAAAAAAAAGGAAGAAATCTATTAATTTATAAATGACATTACTGCGCTCGGGACATACCTATAGGTGCTCCGTCCCCTTGGTCAGTAGCCAACCCTACTCAGTAGTCTGTACACAAAATGTGTGTCAGCACCATATGCGTGATGCTGCAGTGCCGTAAGCAAAATATAAAAGTTAAAAAAAAAAAGTTAAGGACCTTTTCCACACTTTTAGGAGTATAGGGCATATAGGGCTAGACCTATATTTTATAGAACAATTGGTACAAGATGTGTGATGAGGTCAGCGTCACGCCGGTCGCATCTACTTCCCGGGACTGCACCCGGTATCCAGTCAAGGTTGGGTCGACCTGGGAACCAAGGTCATTTTTGAAGAAAAAAGTCTAGTTCCGCCAGGTAGAGAAAAACAAAATATACTGTGATGCTCTTATGGCGTGATCTGCGCTTTCACTTCATTTTAAAATACTATCATTGCAGGATCTTGAAAAATGTTCTGGGAAGTATAGACAGTAAGCATGATGTTAACCACCTAACCACCCAGTGACAGTATAAAAATATGAATGGTATTGTATACTTAATCGGCTCTGTGGCTAAGTCGATGCGAACGTAATGCCGGAATGCCGGGTTCAATCCCAGCTGCGGGCCATGCGCCTTGCGTTGGTTTCGACAGTGGTATCAAGAAAGCCGACCGTCCAGAGGCAATGGCAAACTACTGGACGTAAATTTGCCTTGAAAAACGTACTGTAAAGGATACACAACTAATCTTATTATTGTATGCTCGATGTGAGATTAGCGTAAAAAGGGTCCGTCTTGTTTCAGAATGGACTAATCTAGCTGGGACCCGTTGTGGGGTAGCGGCTTCAGATCCTGACGGAGCAGGACCTGTTTTTAAAAATGACACTGGCTATGAGGTCGACCCAGCCTTAAATGGATACCAGCTAAAGTCTTTTGAAGTAAAGGCGGCCGGTGTGATGTTGACCACATCACAAACAGAGTGGTCTATAAAATATAGGTCTAGTTATGTATGCCCAACTGAGGGTGTTGAAAATAGTCATTTACTTTGTTATTAATCGAGTTTATGACTTTTTTTCATGGAATGCTTAAGTTAAGAAAAGTTACAGACCCTACATACATAGGATACCTGATGAAATAAGCTTATATATACGCCACATTTGAAAAGAATTCGCTATTACCCTTGAGATGAACTAGTTGGGGGGGGGGGCACTGAAAATAGACTAGTCGTGAAAAGGATTCACTCCTAATCTTTAAATCGACTAGCCATGAAACAGACTAGTTCTGAGAATTATTCACTGACATTCCTGAAATGGGCTAGTCCAGAGTATAATTCACAATATTCCTGAGAGTGGACTCGCCTATAGTCCGGAAAAGACTACTAGACATTAGAACTCACCTAAAAAGTCCACAAATATAAAAGAAACAAGAGCTTAAAGAAGTCAACACATTTCGTTGATTGTAAAACGTCTTTCTAACGGCAGAAATGTCAGTAAAAGTTTGATATGTCGGTTAATGATGAAGAAAATACCTGGTAGTAACATAGCCGACAATAATGGGTGTGACGATGGAACCCATATTGAAAGATGCGAGAATAACGCCTTCATATACTGAGCTCCATTGGAACTCCTGGATCTGCAGCAAAAAGAAGTAACAATAGTGAAATGTTATATTACATATAAAAAAAGTTACACATGTATATAATCATTCATTGTGTACCTTTATACGTCACATAGGGTTCGCATACGATTCATCCACTCCGCTCTGTTGCATGTGTTTGGTTATCACGAATAGTCGTTCCCTCGTGGGATGCAATTGTTTGTTTGAAACCCCACCCTGGCTTCTGCCAGGTGCCTTGAATATAGCCGGGGCATTGATATGGCCTAACCATAGATATCGTCTAACGGCTGAAAGGGGTTTCTGGGACCTCTCCACGGGTGATTCTCAACCACATGGTGGCACTTTGTGTCACCGGGAGTTTATCGCTTGTGTGATGTCCTAGTTGGGTACAGCTACCTACCTGCCTGTTGCATGTAACTCAGTCTCTGACACCGAGTTCGCCTATCATTTTTAGCTTCTCTAATAATGTTCTTCTTTATGTTTCCCTTGGACGTCTTTTCTTTTTCCCCGTTTTAATCCTTGTTTTGTAAATCTTTGTTCATTTCTTCCCAGAGTGTGTCCAGTAAATCTCCACCTTCTTTGTCTTATTAAAGTCGATACATGTATTTGTCCAGGCATTTCTCTAATCTCTGTGATTTTTTTAAAATTCACAATTGGCGTAAGCGATCATGCGTCTCCACAGATTACGATCCCTGGTTGCGTTGAACAGCTCTTTTGATGATATCCCTCCATGCCATCGTTTCAGCTCATCCAGCATCATCTCTCTTGGTCTGCCTCTACCCCTTTTTCCCACTGATCTTTCCAGTTGTCACGGTGTTCTCCAATGTCTCCCTTCTCATTATGCAGCCAACGAACAGTCTCTTTCTTATTGTTGTATATAGAGATCTACTTTCATTAGCTTCTTTCAAGCAATTGTTGTTAGTTACTTTGGCAGTCCAAGGTGTTCATAACATTCGTTTCCGAAACCACACATCTGTTGCTTCCAAATTATTCTCAATTTGTTTCTTGACCTATTCTGCTTTTAATCTCTGTCACAAATTCCCAATCTGATGATATGGCTGTTCTCGGATATTTGAATTTATTGACTTGGTTAAGTCTTTTTCATTCAATTGAGATATAACAACGTGGTGTTACCTTCTTCCGTTTTCTTAATATTCAATGAAAGTCCTTTCTTAGGACTTTTCATTCCCACACTATCCATATCCACTGAGCCATTTAAAAAAAAATCCTGTTCAGTGAAGTGATCAGCTCAACTTCAACTAGATATGTAATAATTGATCAAATAAAAGACCGGTATTTTTTTTAAATTTCTATTTTTGGTCAGCCGCAAGATACTATTGTCCTGTTAGTAATGTCCTGTTAGTGCGTTATTACTTAGCTGAATATTCTAATATTCAAAACTACACATTTTTATTACTTCTACAATTAAAATTTACATTATTTGTTTATTTTTCAGCTGCATATTCCAATATTCAAAGTTATAAATTTAAACTATAACGCTAGTTCACTCCAAAAAAAAAGAATCAAATATTCAAGTATCATAACTATGTGATCTGAGTGACTGCAGTAACTGCAGGGGAATATCACTGCAATGTAATTTTAGGAAAGTACTTGCGAGAATTGTTCTGTGAAGACACTAGATCCTAGGAGACCAGGTTTACCTGAAGTCACAGTGTCAGCTGATCTATCACTGATATGATAAATGCATTACAACAGTTGCAGGAAAAATGCCGTGAACAAAATCAACCACTGTTTAATGCTTTTATTGATCTTACCAAGGCATTTTATTTTGTTGGTCGAAAAGGTCTATTCAACGAAGAGGATTGGGTATCCACCTACCCTACTGAGCATTATTGAGTCGTTCAACACAGGTTTAAATGGTACGATCAACTTTGATGGTGTAACATCGGAGGAGTTTGTAATAAACAATGGAGTGGAGTACGGATGTGTACTTGCTCCTATCCTCTTTGGAATAGGCCACTTGCTTCTTTAGAAACATGCCATTCGAGATCAAGATGGTGGTATATGTCGCATAGCAGTTTTGTCATGCACCTTTACTTCCGGATTACTTTTCCAAAATCCTCAGGTGCTCTGAGATAGGGGTGTTCTGAATGGTGGCTCTCGTTTGTCTAGAGGTCTTGCCCTCGGTTCAAACATCCATTCAGCTTATCTCATAAATGAGGTGACTCGAGCTCTGACTCCTCATGGTTAATACAAACTCTTGGGTACCACTCGGCCAGACATCCTCATTACTAATTTTCCCCACAGACTGGTAAACAACGTAAACACAGTCACATATATAAACAACAATAAGTCTAGCAAAACATGAATACACTTCTAACTGTGACAAATGATTCCAACGAGACAACTTTTCCAATACTAAGAAACCTTTTGAACAAGAAATATTCTGTAATAATTTCACTGTGACAAAGAAAGACTAAAAGCGGAATAAAGAGAACCAGAACGATGGTTCACGTCCTCAAAGAAATGGAATTAGAGAATTAATTTCCCTAGGTTGCCTCGGCCATTTCCAGACTCATCATCGCTTGGAGAGTAAAGACAGATTACGAGGGCACATCCGGATACTGGCTGCCAAAGTGTTCCTTAGCTCTAACAACTTATCTGTACCAGATCTTGCAGCTCCTCAGTGTGCCGAATAATGGGATTCTGCAACGTCTCGTTTCTCGTAGTATCTCTGTACGACGATGATTATCACCAGGGACTGATCGAAAGACTACCAAGACTTCCCGGTGACTGGTTGACGTGGACTACACGAACAGCCTGGCGTAGCAGACAATGGCAGGTCAACACGAGTGGGTTTCTTCCCAGTCGATGGTTAGCTGGAGAACTGGACTACCACACGGACGCATGCTGGATCTTCAAACATCCCATGCAAACGAATGTTTTCAAAGAAAACGGTTAACGTTCAAGTGACCGTAGTGCCAAGACACGACCGATCAATAGAAAAGACTATGTAGAAGTGACGTACAGAATTCTAGTCCCTAACCACGGCAGTTGGGGCGAGGATACGACTCAAGCACGCAGTGAAGCGGTCAAACTATTAAGCTTGAACAGGCGCAGAAAATGTGTCATATCATACATATTGACACCATACGCCAAGAAGGATCAATCCAGGAGCCATTTATATAGGTTTCACACAGCTGGACTCCCCAACAACAAACGAACTATATATCTACGGACGGAATATCCGAGATCAAAGATACACCAATTAATATGGGGGTGTCCAGACTGTGGGCCAGTCTATTGTGGAAGGGAAGTTACTGCTGTCATGCGACAGTATATTCATCCATTCTCGATCTGACAGCAGCTTTTACAATGCCCATAGGCTGAAGTCACGATAAGAAAGATACTACTTATCATAGAACTGTTGTTTGCAGATGATGCGGCGATTCCCACCCACTCAGAGGTGGAGCTGCAACGTTTACTGTCTGCATTTGCTGATGTATTCTGTGAATTTGGACTAACAGTGAGGTAAAAGAAGACAAAGATTATATTTGAGTTAGCTGTATCCTTTACATCCTTTAAAGGACGTTGCAGAACCAACCCCAGCAATTGTTAGCTGTTATAATTTACTAGGCAACTTTTACGTTCAGTAGTTTACCATCGCCTCCTGAACTGTCTGATCGCGGTACCACCTTCAAAACCAAAGCAAGACAAATGGTCAGCAGTTGGGATCGAACCTGGCACCCCGGCATTAGGAAGCGCGCTCGCAACGCCTAAGCCACAGACGCCATGTCAGGTTTTGGTAAAAGGTGTTAAAGATAGACCTGCCGTCTATATTGATGGTGAAGAGCTGGAGACAGTTAACCATTTTACCTATCTGGGATCCACAGTAAATAACAAACTATAGCTGGACCAAGAAATCCACATCAGGATTATTACGGCAGTAACAGCAATGAGCAGATTAACAGAGGTTGGGAGAACAGAAAGCTCACGATTAAATTAAAAACTTGTCTATCACGCTTGTGTATTCAGCACTCTGCTTTATGGCAGTGAAACTTGGTCAACTTATTCCCACCAGGAGAAACTGCTAAATATATTTCAGATGCGATGCCTAAGGAGAATACTTGGTATTAAATGACAGGACAAAATCACAAACAGTGAGGTTTTAGAAAGAACAGGAATTACAACCGTTTTCTTAATGCTCAGTCTACGAATTCTCAGGTGGCTGGATCACACCTGGAGAATGAATGATGGCAGAGTCCCTAGGAACATCATCTATGGTGAATTAAAGATGGATAGAAGATGTCGAGGCCGACCTCTACTACGATATAAAGATGTGTGCAAGCGGGACATGAATGATACAGGTACTGAGGTGGACTCGTAGGAAATAAATACAATGGACCGGTATGTGTGGAGGGTGCATATCGGGAAGGAAATGAGAAGTGAGGACGTTCAACAGAAACTTTAAGACAAACATCAATGAGTGAGAAAGACGAAGAGGTTTCTGACCAAAAACCATACATACTATTGAACACACACATACACACACACAAACACACACAGATAGAATGAAATAAAGCAATTCACTGCCAGTCATATGTAACTAGCTTCTTGGGTGAAGATACACACACACACACACACACACACAAACATACACACACACATAGAGAGAGAGAGAGAGAGAGAGAGAGAGAGAGAGAGAGAGAGAGAGAGAGAGTCTTATAATGAAGCTGAAGAGAGAAACTCGCTTACACAGAAGGACGCCATTGTAACTTTGAAAAAAAAAAACAGACCCGATAGAACTAAATGACTATCATCACGCTTCTTATGCCACAAGTGCTTTTTTTAATTTATTATTATTTTTAAAGACTCTTGTTTATTATATTTTCTGCAAACTGTTCAGTTGCAAATGTTCAGTCATTATCAGTTACCTTGTAGACTAATGTAGACGATTATGCTTCTCATCTATCATCAAAAAGTAGAATATTAGACGGGCCTGCCTTCCAATTAACCCGTTAAAAATAAAGTACGTTCTTTGGCTAGTTCAACTTCAACAGTATGTATCAGTTCGTGTTCCTGATCCTCTTTCCATAATATTTCCAGTTATGACAACCTTTTCTAGTTTTTGTCTTCTCTCAGTGCAGCCTAAAATTTACGCCTGACTTGTTCTAATGTTAAATTGTTTATGTAGCCTCTTTCAAAACATTTATATTCCGTTTACAAATTCATCCTATAGTATTTTCGATAATTTCTCGGTAATTACTTATCCTGGGAAAGTGATTTTTTTGCTTCACTAGTGTTTTATACATAAATAATGCCCGGCTCGCTAGAGTAGTTGGCTAAACTTGATTGTGCGGTGACGGGGTGACGAACTCCTTGTGGTCCGGGATCACGCCCGGGGGTAAGCTGAAAAGCCACATTTCTTCGTTCGTTCGTTAGAAGAAAAACAAAAATTTCTAACTTTGTCCTTTTTTAACCGCCTGATGGCCTGTTTTCTCAAGGACGGGTTATTTGCAATCTGAGCTTGAATTTCTTACTTTTGTGGCGATGATTTTCGCCTGAGTTTCTTTTTAGTTGTTGCATCATGTCAGCAGCGTGGGCTTGGTGGGCGGCTTGCAGGTTTTGGGATTTGGAAATGGCAGTCCTGAAAAGGACAGCCATATGTGACTGGGTGGCCTGGAACGGGATGGGTGGGGTCTGGCTTCTGCTGTCAGGTTCTGGTGGCGTTCTGGCGTCATTCGTTTGGCGGGTTGGCTTTTCCTGATAGATGGGTGCTCGGGTTTTTGGCTTCTGCTAAGTTAGTAGCGTCGTCGTCGCCTTCCTCGGTTGTTTCTCTGGGTGGGAGTGGTTTGTAGTGGGCCCCATTTTTGCTGTTCTGCGTTCCATACTTGGCAGCTCTCTAGTGCGTAGTGTTCTTCCTGGTCTCTTAGGAATTGTTCCTTATCGAAGACGTACGGTGCGGGTTCTTCGGGCGGTGTACTGCTAGCAGTCGGGAATTCCTGCTCTGCTTGTGTATATTCTTAATCGGATATGATCTCTCCATCTGACTGTTCTGTATCTGTGATGACTGGGATCGCTTCTGAGTCTTCTTCGTTGGTTTCATCTGGTTCAGTCATTTGTGCCTGATGCTTTATTGATATGTTGTCAGTGGAGACGCCTTTGTCAGCCCTGTTGGTACTTGGCTTTTTTGTAGCATTTCTTTCTTTCTCCAGCAGGGATCGTTCTGTCTTAGCTGCGTGCGCTGCTGTTACGGCTTCTGTTGTGGCTTTCTCTAACTCGGCAGTTTCGCTGCGTGCGGCTTCCCGTGCGGTTTTTATCTCGGCCAGCTCCTTCCTTCTCTCCTCTCTTTCTGCCTGGTGGCGTAATTCTTCTTCTGCCTGGGCTGCTCTGATGCTGGTAAGTATCTCTCTGGTCTTTTGTAGGTTTTCTGTGTCTTCTGACTGTCTTTTTGTTTGCTGGGTAGCGTGTGCCAGCCTGTCTGCCTTTAGATCCTTCATCTCCCCTAGCAGTAGAGAGATCAGTTCTAGGGTCTCTGTTCTTTCGGCGGCCGCGGCAGTTCTTTCTTTCTGGAATGCTGTAATTTGCTTCCTCAGTTCTTCAATTATTTGTAGAATTTCGTTTTCGTTTAGCTTTGTGGCGGAGCGTGCCTGATCAGTTTGTCTTTCTTTTGGAAGGAATCTCGGCTGTCTTCCCTCTTGTTGTCTGGGCGCCTGGTATGTGTCTCTGGAGACGGCAGCTGTCATTTCTCTCCTGCACTTCTTAAGGTGTGGGCAACCCAGGAACCTCGCACTGTATGCACCCGAGCAGTTGCAACATTTTCGGTTATTGTTCGGCCTCCTGAAGTCTTGGTCGATTTTTGCCAGGGGGCACGCTTTGAAGTCGTGGGCCCCAGAGCAGTACCGACAAATAGGGCCACTGCGACAGGTCGCGGCGGTGTGCCACGCCCTGTTGCAGCTTGAGCACTGCATGATATCTGTGTTGTGGGCTCCAGGCTGCTTTGGTAGGCGGGTGCTGGTAGGTCCCTGCGCCTCGACTGGGGCGGCTTTAGGTGGTGGCTCCACGAAAGGGGAAGCTTCAGGTGTCGGCTCCTCGATAGGGGAGGCTTCTGGTGCTGGCGCCACGATGGGGGCGGCTTCAGTTGCTGGCATAGGTGATCGAGGCGCCGCGATAGTAGCGCCTGCTTGTGGTGCTGGTTTAGGTGCTGCGGCAATTTTGTCGGGTATGGCCAGCCTCTTCTTTGGTGTAGGTGCGGCTGCTTGCTGTTTTTTTCCCATGATGGAAAAATCAATGCTAGACAATTGCGGTCTATACCGAAAGCTCGATCCCTGCAGAGTCGACAAGGCTTGTTGAGTGCTCTGAAAAGGGCACCAAGCGTGTTTTCTCTGCAGTTCTCGACACAATCGTTTCACAAATGGCTGGTACGACTGGCTCTTCAACAATGATGTGCTGCCGGGCTGCTAATAACCCAAACGCAGACGACACCGATAGCGTAGTCCAGCCAAACTCGGCCGAATATCAAGCGAATATTGACCAGTATCTAGCTAGTATCGATAATTAGGCTACGAATGGGTAGTTAGCGAGCGAACGAGAGACACACGTGTCTGATCGGGCGGTTGAGCGAGCCAGAGGTGTGTGCGACTGGGCTGTCTGCGCTGGAATGATGACCACATTTCTCCCAGATTTACGGTATTTATCATGGAATCAAGGACAAAGGGTTGCACTATCCGAGCCTAAGGGTTAACAACTCATTGCTTCTGGATACTAAAACAAAACAAAATACATAAATAATATTTAGACAGTCCAGATATCCCTCTTACAGTTTTCCATAGTGTTGAAAGTTAGTTTCGTATTCTTTACAAGACGTTGCAGAATCAACCCCAGCTTTTTTGGGCTGTTGTGCGGTTTCCCTAGGCAAAATTACGTCCAGTAGTTTGCCATTGCTTTCTGTGTGGTCGGCTTCTCGAAACCACTGTCGAAACCAACACAAAGCTCAAGGTCCGCAGCTAGAATCAAACCAGGTACCCCGGCATTACGAAGCGCGTTCGCAACGCTTAAGCCACAGACGCCGGCTTCCATAATGCACATTGGGATACATCAGTGTCCTGGCTCTAAGTTTAACTTTTTAATTTTTTCAGCGTCAATAATTCTCTGAATGTAAAATAGAATGATACAGCGTTTAGCCTCACATGAGAAATATCTATGCAGTTGCGTTGTTTATTTTTAAGTGTTACGAATTTAACTTTCATCGCCATCCTGGTAACACAAAAACTAATCACGTTAAATTACGTCTTGGCAACTTGTGAAACTTCACAGCACACGTTTTTCAACAGCACCTGTCAACTTTCTAGCGCAATAGTTGTGACCTTTTTCAGAACAAACGTTAAACGCAAGACATACGTGTTTTTTGCGAAAGGTCGATTGGTTAAATTTGAACTTTGTGATGTACAACTCTTAAAAGGCAACCCAGCAAGGATCATTGTATGTTTATTTACATAAAATAAGCGAAAATGCGTAGTAGTATTTTTTTGGGGGGGGGTTAAGGCGGGTGAATGCTAAGAATAATAATAAGAAGAAGAATGTCGAAAAGTATGGACAGATAAACGAAAATGGGAGCCGCGTTAGCGCAGTCGACAAGAGACTCGCTTTTAAATCCATCTTCGACTCGCTGCAGCCTACGGCCGATGTTCGAAACCGGGCGGTTCCCGGAGTTCACCCAACCTCTAGGTAATGGGTACCAGAGTTAACACTCTGGAGTAAATGGAGGGACGTCGCTGTAGCTACGGAGGTGCGTGCGGACGGCGACACAGGCGAAAAGTTTCTTATCAGCTGTCCGTACTGGTGGCAGAGCACTTATGGTTTATAACCGTGTGCAATGACGCTGGTTCACATCTCCCGACTTTACATTTTGGAGTGGTGGTTTACAGTAATGAAAAATCGCCTCCTATACTGGGACGGCAGTTAAAAATGCCCCACTGGTCTAGGGGTACTATAGGTCCACCATTTTGCCGATGGACTCGTGAAATGAGGACGCATCCGCAGAGCTGAGGAACTATGGCAACCCTATACTGGCCCTTAACAAGCATGTCGTAAAAGGCGACTAATTATGGCTTTGCTGAAAGTGGATTGCTGGGTCGAAATTGAAAATATCGTAGCCTTGCTGTAAACCCCAACACAGTGGGACAATCGCCATTTCAAGGGCGAACACATAGTAGTAGTAGTAGTAGTAGTAGTAGTAGTAGTAGTAGTAGTAGCAGCAGCAGCAGCAGCAGCAGCAGCAGCAGCAGCAGCAGCAGCAGTAGTAGTAGTAGTAGTAGTAGTAGTAGTAGTAGTAGTAGTAGTAGTAGTAGTAGTAGTAGTAGTAGTAGTAGTAGTAGTAGTAGTAGTTAGTAGTAATAATAGTAGTAGAAGTAGTAGTAGTAGTAGTTAGTAGTAGTAGTAGTACTAGTATTAGTAGTGGTGATGGTAGTGGTGGTGGTAAGAAGAAGAAGAAGAGTTGTTACGAAAAAAAAAACATAAAACAAATTAAAACTAATTTACCGTATGTGGCACTTCAACATCGGATGAGTTATATGTTGAGTTGGTTGCACTTACTGCGTCACCAGTCGAAGATTTTATAGTCATTCCGATAACAGCGATTCCCATACACTGACGTAAAGATGTTTGTATGAACCGTGCCAGAAAACACAGGTACGCGAGTTTCCATCTGCAGGACAAGTATTTAGCCAGAAATGGCTGCCGAATGCTTGATTCTTTTTTCTGTGAAGCTCTGTCATTATTTTCTTCTTGACATGGTAGTTGCGGTGCGTCAAGTTCTGGAGTTTTCTCTGAGGCAAAATTATAATTTGCTCTACACAAAGAGTTACATTTGTCTAGTTTGGATCGTAACTGAATGTTGTTATCATGAGTGGGAAACGATAGGTTATTTGGAAAGTTATTTGAAGATACATCGAAGCTGCAGGGCTGTTGCATCGAACATTGTATATTGTCCTCTAAACTCTGATTCAAACCGCCTTTACTAATGGATTTCGAGATATTTTTGTCGACGTCAAACTTGACTGGTGGGAATTTACTATAATTTGAACAGATGACTTCTTGAATTTGTGTATTCTGCTGCTGGGAACATTCATTTGTTCGATTTTCTAGGTTTGAGTCATTGCAGTTGATGTTTCCATGAAATTTCAAGGAATTAACGCTTACTTCTTCATTATGAACGTAAATGTCATCTAGGTTGTAACATCTTGAGTTTGCCCCGAGTCTCTGTGATGTAGCACCTCCGTGAAACGAATGCGAGCGATGCCTAAAAACATCACAGGAACATTCTAACTGTTTAATACGGTTGCTGTTTAGTCGCTCGGTTTTGCAACTGTCATTTAAATTCTCGGATACACAATTATCTACTGATTCTTTGTTCCTGACTTCACCGTCTTCTTTGCACGATCTCGTGGAAGCATCTGTTTGTAAAATATACCTGTATCGGTAACCACCGTTGCCGATACCTTCTGACTTGATAAGATCAGGAGGACTTGACTGTGGTCCTGGATCAGTGACCCAGTCCACAGGACCTGTTAAGTGTATGTGCTGCTTCCGTTCATGCACATTGTAGTAATCAATGCCAGTGTTTATAGCGCCTGCTGCCTCTGGCAAATAATGCAGCTTAATGAGAAGTGCGGGTTCCTTCATGACGGCATTTACAAAAGTCCTCATTGAAGATTACTTCAGACTTTTAAGTGCGCTGATGTTTAACTTGTTGTTCAACGTGCTAGTGTAAAATTTGTAGAATGTTCGCTGGTGTTCAGCTCGTTTTATAAAGCGTCTTGATGTTTAAACCAGTGTGTAACGAGCACTGATATTTGGTTCACTGCATAGCCTGCGCTGACAACTTTGTATAATGGGCGCTGGTATTTTCCTTCCTGTACAAAGTACGGCGAAGCTCAACATGTTGTAGAACGTGCGCTGATGTTCAACCTCACATATGACGTGCGCTGATGTTCAGCTCGATGTATAAAGAGTGCTGATGCATGACTCACATGATGATCACTGACAAAATGGCTAAAAATTACTCAAAATTTACCAAATTCCTCTAGAGATTAGCTCATCCAGTTGAAATTATAAGTCCAGATTAAACCAAATGTATGGGCGTAATCAAATAAACACTTTCTGTAAGTCATGTGTGGTAATAAATTATGATAACATATGGTCTAATCTTTCTGTTGCCCCTGGATTCTAACCACTTAGACTCAAATTTGTATCAATAATCAATGACCTTGAAGTTGTCTTCCCAGAAAAAGTTCCACAAAAATACGATTGTATTTGTAGTTCACAAAAAAGATATTCCTGTGGTCATCAAGTCATCGATTGTCAGTTTTTCCAAGTCTTGCTAAAATAGAAAAAAAATTCACTTGAATGTAACATAAGACAATTGCAAAGAAGCAACTTAACACAATAACCGTGACTAGGAAAGGGCGGCTCAGTGAAAAAAATATGGAAAAGACATACAGTCGAAAGTATCAATCAATGTCATTATCAGACCATTAAAACACATGGAATCAAACGGGGAAAAAGTATCGAAAAGATTTCAAGAAACAGAAATGAGGAAAATTTCTTGATGAAGACTTTGGTGGAAAGTATAACTTGTTTGTGTGGGTATTTTCGTGTACCTCCTTTGAATTTGTTAGTCTTATTGAGCTTATTAGCTCCAAGGCTCCAGTGTACTGCAACTTAGTATGTTACTTCCGGATATTCGCTAGACTGCAGTCTAACTTTTGTTTTCTTTACTTCAAAAACTTTTTCAAAAGAAGTTCTCATGTCTAGTGAAGCCCAGTAAACAATAATAACCCGCTTAATTGTCGGTAATGCTTGTAATTCATGCAGTTATCATAGATTCACATATTCTCTTATTAAAACGTACTCGAAAGTTGACATAGGTCAGGATCAAAACAGTATTAATTTTCTCAGATAAATCTCAGAGAAAGTATCCACGCCTTTAGGCGTATAGGGCTAGACCTATATTTTTATAGACCAATTGGCACACTTCCCAAGACTGCACCCGGTACTCAATCAAGGCTGGGTCGACCTGGGAGCCAAGGTCATTTTTGAAAAAAGTCCGGCTCCGCCAGAGAGCGAACCCAGTACCTTCCGATCCGCGGCGAGTCTACCCTCCCCCCTCCCACCCCCATCCTTCAGAGAAAGTCTCGTTTTAATTTTGTATCATTGCGTTGATGAACAGAGTTGACTGATTGGGCGGATCCTATCACCACCAGCCAGTGAACTGCGGAATATGGTATATTTGAAAGTGTGGGCCAACTACTTACTACGCTAAAGCTAAATGAATTCGAAATCGAATGCCCGAAGATAATTGTGGATATTAAATGGGATGAATTCAAGAAAGGTGAGGGGAAAAGAACAATTTTTGGAATAACCACTTTCCCGTGTGGGTTCGGGGGCCCTATTGTGGGAACAAACAAGAACAGAACCACTTCTTCTCCAACAAGCTGGTGGTATGAGTCGATTCATTGGTGGAGGTGGGGCATCCTTCGAAGCTGGAGTACATCTGCCTGAGAGGCAAGGAACCAAGAGACTGCACAAAAATAAGGTAGAACGGGAAGAAGCATAGAAAGAACTGATATCGTCAAAGATGTACGGACTAGGTTGGGGAATAATGGAGAATCTCCTACGCTAACACGACAGTGTGACCGAGGAGTTAAGCTTGGTGTAGCACGTCTACGCCGTCTTCAACGTAAAGACAGGAGATAATGTAACCAACTCCTCACTTGAACAGTCAATAGAGTCATCTTGAAGTGGCTGCTGCATCGGAGGACTCAGCACGCATGGGAATGCCCAGTGTGCAAAGACGTCGACTGTGAAAACATAGCCATCCAGATTTGTTAAATAAATGTGAACGTAACATTCAGGTTCAGAGAAAAAAACTGCTAGCCCGTTGTGACATCTAATGGCACAATATGATGATAATGATTGTGGTGGTGGGGATGATGATGAAGATTAACTACACTGTTACCACTAATGCCTTTTATCTAACGCTTGATGAAATGCTCTCAGCTAACTTACTTCACACATGCCATCACCTTGTGGGATGCAGTTTTTTTAAAGTTATTTTGAAACTTCAGCCGGGCTTTTGCCGAGGGCCCAAAATATAGCCGGGCCTTAAATATGGCTTAATGGCTGAACGAGGTTTCCGGGAACTCTCCACGGGTGATCCTCATCCGCATGGTGGCACTTTGTGTCACCGGGTGTTTATCGCTTGCGTGATGTACTGGTGGAGTACGTACATGCTTACTGCACATTCCCCTGGCACTTTAGCTGCCTCTATGCCCCAATTTTTTTTAACACACATAAATTAATTATACAAACATATATTTACAGTTCCTAGAGAATACATGGGCCCAAAAAAAAAATGTACAACAATTTCACTCAATTATCAGTTTCCATGCTAAATATGCAACTGTGTTAAAAAAAATGGCGGTAAAATATAAATGAGGAAAACAGTGTCAGTTAATTTATTCCAGAAAAAATTAACCTCTTACCAACCCACCTTGACTGTCGCTGTTTCTAGCCAGACACAGCAGGCCACATAACCATATGAAAGGCGACATAAATAAACCGCAAATAATTGGCCAGGTAGTATGTACTGTTGGGTAACCACAGAACAGGTAACGGTTAATTAAATTGACCGGCTCAGCTGTCAACAAAGGCAATGTAATCTTGGAATTTTAAAATCCAATTGTCATGCATGCTTTGTAATGACAAAGGGGGCTGAATTTGCTCTCTCTGAAGGCTGGAATTAGGTGGTTTGAACATTTCGTTTAACCGAAAGAATGCTTTTTAAACGTATTCAGTACTGTGCAACTCACTATGCGACTGTGGCTTTTGATTGGCATTGTATGCTTTTCTGCACACCTTGACGCATCTTAGTGTTATATTAACCCAGTCTGCACCAACTATTAGTTTAACTCTTAATCGTGTTATTATTTCAGCTACCCATGCCCAAACATTGATTACCAAATGTAACATCTTCTTATAATAGAACGAAATAAAACAACACCTACTTGGTTCTGAAAGAGTTAAATGCGAGCAAACATTCTGTTGGGAAAATTAATAAGATTAGTTTTTTTCCTGTACTTAAACATCCGTATAAGAGATAATGTGAATATTTAATTATGGGTGACTTACATTATTTTTTTCTTCTAAATATGCCAAGGCTAGTTCATGTGTCTTCTACTTATTGATTTATTATTATTCAATAAGCACGCAGACAGCTTGCTTGTCTGTCGACCAGAGACCATGTGTTTGAATCCTTTTTGAGGCTGTCTCTTTAAAAATAAATGTCCGTATTGCCTCGATGAACCCCTCCCTTTCCAGTCTATCTATCTATCTATCTATCTATCTATCTATCTATCTATCTATCTATCTATCTATCTATCTATCTATCTATCTATCTATCTATCTATCTATCTATCTATCTATCTATCTATCTATCTATCTATCTATCTATCTATCTATCTATCTATCTATCTATCTATCTATCTATCTATCTATCTATCTATCTATCTATCTATCTATCTATCTATCTATCTATCTATCTATCTATCTATCTATCTATCTATCTATCTATCTATCTATCTATCTATCTATCTATCTATCTATCTATCTATCTATCTATCTATCTATCTATCTATCTATCTATCTATCTATCTATCTATCTATCTATCTATCTATCTATCTATCTATCTATCTATCTATCTATCTATCTATCTATCTATCTATCTATCTATCTATCTATCTATCTATCTATCTATCTATCTATCTATCTATCTATCTATCTATCTATCTATCTATCTATCTATCTATCTATCTATCTATCTATCTATCTATCTATCTATCTATCTATCTATCTATCTATCTATCTATCTATCTATCTATCTATCTATCTATCTATCTATCTATCTATCTATCTATCTATCTATCTATCTATCTATCTATCTATCTATCTATCTATCTATCTATCTATCTATCTATCTATCTATCTATCTATCTATCTATCTATCTATCTATCTATCTATCTATCTATCTATCTATCTATCTATCTATCTATCTATCTATCTATCTATCTATCTATCTATCTATCTATCTATCTATCTATCTATCTATCTATCTATCTATCTATCTATCTATCTATCTATCTATCTATCTATCTATCTATCTATCTATCTATCTATCTATCTATCTATCTATCTATCTATCTATCTATCTATCTATCTATCTATCTATCTATCTATCTATCTATCTATCTATCTATCTATCTATCTATCTATCTCTTCTCTAAGAATGTGAGTTGGGTCGCAGGTCAATCCTCCCTAAAATGTGTGTCGTGAAATATTCTGAGACCTCAGGATATATGAGGTATCTATGGCCACATCACCCATCTAGTACTAATTTGGTTTGTGTCCGGGCTATTAAACGAGCGGTCCGCGGATCAAGTGGCTGAAGATAATTGCCTGATGTATATTATACCTACTGAGTCCATGCTTGGGGTCGGGCCTTTGGTCAGTGACCATCCACATTCTCAGCATTTGGGCCCCTGTGTAAACTTAGCTGAAACGCCCTGATCTATACCATATACTCTTTAATTATACGTCTTTTGCCACACAACCGGTAAACTGAGGGCTGGGAAACGGCTCATTTACTGT